GGCTGAGGGGGCCCGCGGGTGGAGGACGGCAGGCGGCCGTTCCGGTCAGCGGTTGGCGGTGCTGGGCTGAAGAAGGCGGAGCGCCTTCCCTCGGGGCAGCCAGCGTTCCGGCTTTTACAGTTCTTCGGGTAGCGAAACGTTCCTTCGCGCACCGCGTCAAGGCGTGGAAAGGGGGGGTTGTTAGCTGACAAGGGCTAAGGTGGGTCCCTCAGCCTTCGTGAGCTAAAGAAAGGGCCCAAAGCAGCACCCACCGTGACACCCAGGAGAAGCAACGATAACATCGGGGCTGCACGGGCCTCCGAGGCTGCACAGCTCTACCCCCAGCAGAGCCCCCCACGTTTCTGGTGGACAGGCCCAGGCCACCGAGGTCTTCGCACCGCAGCGGCAGGGCAGATGGCTGGTGTCAGCGCGAGGAGGCTGGGCGAACAACAGGAGGTGCCTTCCGTACCCCTGAAAGGAGGAGAGGGGAGGCAACGCGATGACCCTTTTGCTTTTTCCACAAATTCCTCCCCCTGCTGCCCTCAGACCGTGCTGTCTGACAAACCAGGTTTGGACAAAGCTAGTAGGTGTTGAAGACGGAGACCCTTTTCACGGCCATTACAGAAAGCCAGTCAAAGGACCTGGTGGGTTGCAGTCCAGGTTCTCCTGTGGTCCCACTATGCTGACCCAGCAGCTCCTGGTACAAGCGCTGGCTGACCGGGGCAGGGGGGAAACAAGTTACTTCCTTACCTAGCTAGGATCCCTTCCAAAGGAAAGTCGCTAACAATACCAGGAGACTGAGGGCATTTACTTCAAGGGAGCACACGCTGTTCACTATCACTCCACACATGCAATGATTCGAGACGGTACTTCCTCCACAATTTTTATTTTAAATTACAAAGGATGTTGCATACATTGATGAATTTGTATCTGAATAGAAGTGCTAGGGATCAAGGGTGACAGAGTAAACAAAGTCAATAGTTTCATTGTGCCTCTTTAAAAAAAAAAATAAAAACTGCACAACTATTAACCAACATTAAACATTGCAACTCTTAACAACCATGCTTTTAACAAGGTAGATTTATTTTCTAACAGAGACAAGACTTTCAGTAAGTTTTTCTGAGCTCCAGTTGGAAGTTGATTATAGAATATCAAGGACAGCATTACAATCATGACCCCAAGCATAGGCAGAACAGGATGCCATGTTTTGTTTAAAATGCTTTTTTTGCCTGTCAACCACCTACATCCGCATGTGCCATCAGCCTTAAGAGTTCACCCAACCACAAATACTGAGCAGTAAGTTTTACTTGGACATAATATTCTGCAAGGATAGACAATTCAAATCAGAATGTATGAATATCCATCATTATAAGAAAGATCAATACAATTAAGTGCTACAACTAGGCTCTGTTTCTTAATCAGAAGCTTTTGATAGGGCGGAGTGTGCTTTTGCCAATACTAAATCCAATCCAGAAGTTTTCCTTACCGTAGCTAGTTAACTCACCCAAATTTGACTTACATAGATACCCAACTAAAAAATATTCTTAACTCAAGAAAAACACTAAACACTTATCTAAAAAGTTTGGAGTTTTATTTTTTTATGGAAAAAAAAAAAGTGGCTTAAAATAGCTCTGGCTCCACAGCTCATTAGAAAGACAATAAATGCATAGTCAGTATTTGCTCTTGTGGAAGTTCATGAATGTCTAAGAGGCTGAGGATTATAATTCAGTGCGCACACACACCTTCTTATCATGCTAGAAGCATTGGGGGAAAAAACATGGCATATTGTGAAATGTAAATTGTAGAAAGATAGAGACATTTTTGTATGCTGCAAAGAAGATATAACCTGAAAGTGCCATCTTTTGTTAATGACATTTAAGAATCCCAATTTATATTGGGAGATATTCAAGAGTGGTGTTTTCTCAACATACTAATGCCCTTAGTACAGTTACAAGAAGAATCAGTCACTGAAGCAGTAACTGTTTGAAATGTTTCACACGATCCCTGGGGTAAACAAAATAAACCTCAGCTGTGTGCAAGGCTGTGTCAATAAGCCAAGACCACATCTAGCAGCACACTTAACTAGGTGATTCCAACTGAAGCCTCCAACTTAAAAAGAAAATAAAATCATGATTAGATGCATTCTCGAAATTCAGGTCTCGAGGCCAAATACAGATCCTAACATTGACAGTACATAATTGGGTTATGCCTCAACAGAATTTCAGGAAGACTAGCAAGCACGTTTGAGGAACAGAATTGCATTTGCTATTTCTGCTGAAGGCAACTTGTATACAACCCTTTGAAATTCTCCTGATAAAGCCTTTTAGAGCTTTAAAAGAATAGCTATGTTTAAATGATTTATGGAAAAAGAAAAGCACATCCAGTCTTTATATTTTGTGAATAAGCTAACTGTTTTATTAATGAAGGCAAGTATCAGATAAATATTAGGGGGGGATCTTTTTAAAATAAAAGTAAAAACTGACACCCCTGTATTTCAGAAGTGTCTGGCTGCTTTTAGGTTAGTTAAAAGACCCTTCATCATCCATTTTAGGTTTTTGTTTGTTTGTTTTTTTAAAAAAAACTAACATTTTTTCCTGGCCCTTAGTATGGAAAGTCTATCTATAAAAGAATTAGGAACTGAACACAGCTGAGCCTGACTCTCACATCAGCTTTACAGCAATGCAACTTCATTAAATCACAATGGTTTCAACTGGTATGATAAGAAAATCCAGCCCATCCACACGTAAACATAGCTTTAGTAGCAAGTCTCTCTCATCCAAAAAACAAGTACTCACCAAGTATCAGTAAGTGTGTTCAATAAACCATAAAAGGAAGCATTAGCAAAAGGGGTTTAGGGCTAAAAACCACCCTTCATGAGCACCCCCACATTTTGCAAGGCCATTCAAAAACTGGTCTTCCATATAAATACAAAAGGACTACTATTGAGAGAAACTGAAATCAGATCTATCCAGACTTTCTTCAGGATGCTTTTATCAGTTCTGATTCAATTTCAGGAGGGTTAGGTTTGAAGAGTTCAGAGGGAATGAAAAACATTTAGTTCTAGATGTACAAGTAAGGCACAATATAAAGCCACATCATCATCTGTCATGAAGGAAGTAGGAAAGGACAAGAATCATACATGGTACAGTAGAACAAACAGTCCATCAATTCAAAGTGTGGCACCTAAGTTCAGACTGACGAGATCTCAACAAGAGCAGTTATGACAGCATGCTTTTAATATGGAAACAAATTCTAGAGAATCCAGTGTATCAGAAAAAGGAAGAACTTTTGTTTGTATTAAATAAAAAAAATGTATAATTGTTTTTGGATATAGGATTAAAAGTGAATATTCACAATGCCTACACTCAAAAACAAACAGAAAAAATCCAGGACTTCATTAAGATCCACATACCATGTATGAACACTGAAAATCTTTAGAAAATGGTCTTCTCTAAAGATCATCCAAAAATGCATGCCACAATTGCCAAAAAACAGAACATGTACAGTCGTTGGTTTTTATAACCTTATAAGATTTTTTGTTTGTGATAAGTATACACTAAATGTATATATTTTAATGACACTAGAGGAAGCAGATTGTTACTGGCATTAAAGTACAACCATTTCTAGACGGTTTAAATGCCACAGAGTCCCCTGGTTAAAATGTAAAGCTGCACAGCTTGCCTATGTCACCTTTATGATAAAGTTAAACCAGCAAAAGGTCTTATCTTTACTCTACATTTTACTGCCAGGTTTTATTTATATCAAGTATCGCTGCAGCATTCTGACCAGCCCAGAGTTAGCAGCAAGTGGCAGGAATCATATAAAACGCAGTTTTTTTTTTTTTTTTTTTTTTTTTAAACAAAGTGCTTTTCTAAGATATACATACATATAAATAGGTACAAAATAAAGTGTCAACATTAAAAAGCTCAACTATTTAAAAGCTTTAACTTAAAATAATACATAGAAAACACTGAAATGCAAGGGTATGGAATTCACTAAAGATTCAAAGTCTACTTTGAAATGCTAGACCAAAATCATATTCTGGTTTTCAGACAAAAATAAAAAGCTATGAAGTTATATTTGCCCAGTAGTTCTGAGCAGTGAAAAGGGGCTTTTTAATACCTTGTCAGTTTAATTTGTCACAGAAATTTTTACCTGATTGCAAAACTGCTCTCTTAATGTTTAGAAATGCTGCCTTGTCTACACAGTTTGGATATAGCATATAGACCTCTCGTATCTGAGCAGTGCGTTAACACCATTCATCAGAAAGGAACAGTATTCAAATCTTGGTACAGACATGGCCTTAACTTCACAGGAGACATTCTTTGTCGGGGTTTTATGGGCCGTATGCATCTCCAGAATAACTGCAACATTGGCAATAATTACAATTGGAATACATCTGACCCACTGTGTAAAGCAGCAGCCAACTCTCACCTCACCCTAAAAACAAAAACACCTGAAACAAAACCACCCACATTCCACTCAGATTTTGCAAGTCTTAAGTGGATTTACAAAGTTTTGCCTAAATTGCCCTGGGTATTTGTTCAGTCTCTTGTAGGAAAGACTTTCTGTACAGCTCAGTAGTGGTATTTTGGCCTCCTCCTCCCTTCTGAGTCTTCCAAAATATTTAGATACAAAGTAAGCTGTGGGCACACTCACAAGTGTGGCAGGACTGCCACCTTCATCGGCCACTCTTACTGCACTATTACCGATTCAGACTTTTTTTTTATAGTACAAGCTTGGATATAAAAATAATCTACTTATAAACAAAAAGGAATCACAGTACAAACAAACTTAGACAAACTAGAAATGAAGTGGAGAAATTCCCCAAAGGGAGTGGGGAGAAAGCCTTCATGGACTTTTGCATTTTTTTTCAGCAGCTACATTTGAAAATATTTGGTATTTCTATTTTCAGTAAACAGTGTTTTGTCATCTTTAAATAGGGAGAGAAAGAACAGGGAGGAAAAAGGGGGGGAGGGGGGTCCATGAAACCAGAGAATGATCTTGCCTTGAGATAAAGTACTTTCTCATCAAAGGCTAAAGCTTTTAATCTGTACGTTAACACTGACTACAAAGCCAACTCTTATTAGCAGAAGAGCAAATAAGAACTGTGTGTTAATATTCCTCAATCATAGAAACTACTGAATTAACAAGAATAAGTCACATATAAGTTTGAAGAAGCTAGTTTCGAAATACCTGTACAAAAATATAAAAGTCTATAAATTTTTTTTTTGTTTTGTTTGAAGCCTGTGTTGATCCTTGGAAACATCACATGCATAATAATACATCAACTGGAAAAGTGGCAACTAAGGAATTAGATATTTGTAGCTCTTTTTTCTCTTTACATATATACACATTACAATAAAAATAATTTTATTTTGGTTGTTTGGTGGAAGTATACTACAACAAGCTAAATATTTTTTTTAAATTCTCAAAGTTGAAAACTATTTTACCAATAGCTTACTAAAATCCAAATATATTAAAATCTCCTACAGTAAGTGCAGAGAAAAAAGATTTAAAGACTCCGAGATGGCCACCAACTTATCTACCATGGAAGCGAACTACAAGAACAGCAAAATAATATTGTTATGTATGAATGCTCCTTCTGTAGATAATTGGACCCAAACAAAAAAATTCACAGTTCAGTAAGATCCCTAACCCTGACCTTTAATTTTTTTTCTTTTTTCATTTGTTTTTACATTCAGTACAGTATCATATAAGCTGTGCAAAACTTTACTTAGACTGGCAGTTCGCCATATCAGTTGCATTTGTCTTTGGTACAAAAATAAACAATCGCATTAATGTGCAAGTATTTGTTTTCTTCCGGCCAAAGTACCGAAATTGAGTTTTCTAGAGCCATCTTTTATACAATACATAGACTCTGTGGCATATATCTACATTTTCAACATATTCCTATATACATTCAAAAATTTTAAGAGCTGGAACAAATACATTAAAACCTATAATCTTACCATCTATACATCTTGTTTTTTCCCCTCAGGGTTTTCTTCATACAAAACTTTACCAGCTTATACTGATAGCTCTCCCCCCAAAATACAAGGCACAAAGAATATACTTTTTTCTCTTGCTTGCACAGACATTTAAATACTATATTAAGCTCAGAAAATTAAAGTCTTATATGGCACACTAGCTCTAATGCCACGTGTGCTATGTACAAGTTAATGGTTGCAAAGAAAGCTTACTGTTTTTTAAGAACAAAAGAAAACCCAATTATAAAAAAAAAAAAACAACAAACACAAAAAACTCCCTAAATTGACAGCTTTACCAAAAAAACGCTTCCTCTTATTTTACTTGGAGCATAAACCTGTCACAATGTCTGGCATATGCTAAAAATTTTTACTAGCAAAAACATGTTTTTGCTTCTAAAACAAAAGTGATATATTCTGGTCCTAGGTAACTTAATTTTAAAAAGAATCCTCATCTCCGTATTTAAGCTTAAAGCAGCTTTGAAACTACCTGGTTTATGGTCCAAAAATGCTATCAAGCATTTTATATCATGCTTTGATTTGTTTTACTACATTGTTATTTAAAAACAATGGAACCTAATTGTAAGTGTTTACATAATGCTAAACTGACATGCAGACCAGAATGCAATTTACAATGAAGTACTTGACAACACAGGTAGAATCTGACTGATGAGAACAGCTGAAGTCATGTCTTAAACTTTTGACATTGGTATTCGTAGCCCTACAAGGCCACCGGTGGGGTCTCCTTCTGCAGTCTTCTCTAAAACTTGATTCACGAATTCTGATGTCTGTCCAGCTACAGGTAGTCCTAAAAAAGGTAGGGTAAGAAAACATGCTGTAAGGTTACTATTCATTGCACGTATTTGCACATTCCCAAAGCCGACGAACACTTTGGGTGGTAACCAACAAAAAGGCATAGACAACTGAAATTGGGAAGCACTTCTTTCTTTTTTCTATTCCAGAAATTGTTTACAACTTATCATCGATTATATGTCTCTTCACGTACATGCAAATACATGAAGTCTACTGCTTACCAAGAGTGTCTTTAATAAGTATGTTTAACTTCTGTTCCATGTTGACTCCTCTATCATCTTTAGGTACCTGCACCCGATTAACTATTTCTTGTTTAATAGAGTTGATCACAAACAGTAAATTATCTGCAAAGAAAAAAAAACTGGATTAGATTTACAGCACATTCCCCTAGGCGCAAAAGAGATTGATAGTTGTCCACACACTGTTATCTGTAAGTGTCAAAGGTGTCACATCACACTTACTGTAAAATTAAGTTGTAATAGTTTACATCTGTAAACATATTTTCAAAAATATTTACATTACATGCATACATTTACATACTTTACATCTGTAAAGTAACTCAACACTGCAGGTAACCCAATTTACATACACTTTATGGAGCAGACTGTTTTTGTACCAACAAAATTGTTGGGTTTGTACCAATCCTGTTTTCTGTATAAACTGCCAGGTATGACCCAGGTCACATGATGGTGCAAAACACAGACTTGTCTGAACAAAAGAAAAATTAAGATGTGAAGAGTTGTATTTACCATATTCCGTGTTGAGACCCCAGAGTTTTACTTTATTGGCTTCATACTGGGCTTTCTTTTTTAGTCTACAAGCCCTATAGTAAGAAGAGGGGAAGAATTAGAACACTAACACAAATTCCAGAATACTAAGAGCATCTGTTTGTCTGCCACACAAACTTATCAACCAATACTCCCAGAGCTGTGATGTATAAAATCACCTATCTACTCACTCACCATCACTGAAAGCACTGTGCTACCTATCTTTGCTTACAATTCACACTTGGGGATTTTTTCACTGTATCAATCATTTGCCCTGCAGCTAAATAAGCCAGCTTCCAGTGGAAATACATTGTTATCTAGGCAACAGGCAAACTACATCTCCAAAGTGCCAGTTGCCCTGCTTTTTTATAAACTAGTAATTAGCCCATTGCAGGAACTACCACGATGAAGCAGGATCTCGAAGCAAAAATTAGTTAGATCTTAATTGTACAGTTTTAGTAATCCAAATATACTCATCCATGTAGTGTTATCTAATATATACCTGGAAGCCAGCTTGTTCTTTTCTTTTCTTGACCTTGGTCTGGCCGTTAAGGGAAGTTCACTGACTGGCGTGAGGTCACTGATCACCTTATTCAGCTTCCTCAGTTCATTACCAATCTGTAGAAGTTTTCTAGGGTTGGGAGTTAGGTCTTCTACATCAGTCCTCCGTGACTTTTTTGCTGCATATTTTCCTGTTTTAAATATGCAGAAAATTGGGTTGGGAAGTGACACAATACGTACACAAACCTGTGAAAAAACATTCTTAAATATGTATTTTTTTGGTTGCAGTTTAAGTTCCTTTGTTCGTTACAAGAGAATGGACTGGAATCATGTGATCCCTATGGCCTTTCACAATAGAAAGAGCATTTCCAGACAAACTGCTTTGTACAATTCATATTATATCCAGATCAGATAAGAGCAAATGCTGCTGGCCAGGCTACTGGATGTGACAGACAGTATACACACAACTGTGCTGAAAAATGTATGTCACAAGTTCAAACCCAGTTGTTTTGCCCCAACTGTAACTTGCTAACTCATGTGTTCAGCCAATATATCCTCTTGCACATTCAAGTTTGATTAAATTCCTACATCATCTTATTGAGAAAGTTCTGTTGAGGCCTGGTACTGATAGGATCTTCAGTGATACTGAGCTTAAATGATCCACATAAAGGCTAGTTAACCCCTTTTATATGTATTTGAAGCTATTTAAGCCTGGTTTTCCTGAGGAAATACACATATTCAAGACAAAAATCTTCATTCCTTAAGATTCTCTGCCAATGCTATGTGTCTTTTCCTAGATTTCTATTAAAATGCCAGTTGTTACAGACACTTGCATGAAAATGTTAATAAAACTAACAAAACCTACTCCAGAAATATTTATTAGAGAGCTGGTAATTTAGCATGATTTATCTGAGGTAGTAGATGACCTTGGTACATGTCTCTATATGAAAATAAAAAAGTCCTGCATGTGTAGCTTCTGGATGTTGCCTAGTGTTTGATCCTACAAATCCCTTGCATATGCACCTGACTTAAAGGTCACTTGCTCCTCCAAGTCTCTGGGAAGACTGAGTCCTCAAGGCATGTTTGGTTATTTGTTGTTTAATAACATGTATAGATATAAGCCTTCATAAGAAGGAGCAGTGATAGGGACTTTAGGTACTGATATTTCACTATGAGATAAATAATCATATAAAAACTAAGGAGATTAAAAAGAAAAAGAAGTTTTCTTCCCTGAATAAATCTACAAGTTACAACAACAAAAAAATCTTTTGGTTTAACAGAAGGTAAACTGCCATGTTAAAGATAGTAATTTTCAACTGTAAGGGAACATTAACATTACAACCAGGAAAGCTGGTTTCATTTTCTCTTTCAAAGCCAAAATAAATGGAGCAGCCTATCAAGGAGGTCCTGTGACAAGAAAACAAACATTACTCCTAAGAGTGGTTTGTTCTGGGTGATGTTAGTCATGTGTGCAGTACAGCAAATTGCTAATCAAAACGTTACGGGAATAAAACAGAGTTATTAGACCAATTGGTTTAAGTTTCTAAGAGGGTATGTTAAAGAAATAGTTTATTCACAGAACAGTAACTGCTTCACTGTGCTGCATTCACATACGTGGGAGACACAAGTAGGGAGGAGCAAAAAGAGACAGTTACGCCTTATTGCTTGTCCTTTAGTTCATACTGCAGTTAATGTGAACTTGGCATTTCAGATCACTTCCAGCTTACTTCTAACACAACCAAGACTGAAACTAACAGCTATGAGGAGCAAATATCAGTCAAGCGACCAATCCAATATGTTTACAGTATCGCACTGAGAAAATGCCGAACTCTTGGGGTTTCCACTGAAAGCCCTTGGAAGTTACAATTCTCAATTCATCCACCTTCCTCTGGAAGAAACCACACTGAAAGTTACTACTGTATGTTCACTGTGCCTTCCTTGGACACTGTGCAGAACTCTGCTAATTGAACAACAGACTTACAGTGTTTTAATGATTTATTTTCATGGCCAAAAGACAACTTCTCGGCACTTGCAAGTATGGGAGTTTGGCTACTGAAGGTGTCAAATGAAAGACATTCCCTTGTAACTAGGACTTATTCTTACCATGATGGAGACCATTCTTCTGATACATGTTACTTGGTAACGTATCTCGATTCCACTCGGATGGCCTCAGCATTCTTTCTTGTTGTGAAGGTGTTAGTTGCTCACTGTACTCCCAGAAGTATCTTCGCTTGCCTCTCTTCCGAGAGGATATTGCAGTCATTTCTTTTAAATCCTCCACAGAATCATTTTCATACCCTAAAAGGATGCATTGCATTGTTTATATAACGTTGAAAAAACTCTTTCTAGCCCTTTAACAGTGGACTGAGTATTCAAGTTAAGAGCAAAACCACAGATGAGGCCTGTTTTACATTATTTAATAGACTTGGTGTTCAGTGTCAACTACTGCTGGATACTTGCCTTAAATCCAGGGATAGACATTGAGCCAGTGATGGTGCTTCATTAGTTGAAAAGAGACAAATCATTTATACACTGAAAGCCCCTCTATGCTCTCCGATTCCTTAAGCTCTAGCTCTTTTCCCCCACAATCCAACCACTGCAGAGTACAGAAAACAGCTGTTGGAGAATGTTCTTCCATCCTTACAATTTTCTCCATGAATTTGCAGGAACATAATCCTAACTTGCCTCCACATTTTAATTAATCTCTCATCAGAAAGCATGGAAAGAAAAGCAGGTAATAAAGATGGATTAGCAAAAGACTAGTAAAGAAAGCAAAATCATTCAATCACAGAATATTCTAAGTTGGAAGGGACCCATTAGGATCATTGAGTCCAGCTCCTGCTCTTCCTTGAGTTTGAATACCTTCGGGAAATAAACCACCCATCTCTATTTGACTAGAGGAAGGGGGCTCTGTTATCAGGACAATGACCTAAAGCCCATAAGAAAAGACCATCTAAATTCAAGGGATCTGGACACAAGCCGTTCAATCTCTTCCTAACCTCTTTGGTGATATGAAGAGAAATGATCCACAGTAAAGCTATGCAATATTTTAGAGGTATCTTATGATGCACTTGCTGCGATGAACTGTTCATGAAGCGCGTGAAAACTGTAATGCCACTATCCACATTGCATAAATATTTATACCATAATTATATAAACAGAAACCACAGTTTTTAAAATCCTACATATGTTTTAGAAAATAAAGACAACCTATACTAAGGTTAAAAAACCCCAAACCACTGCATTGCCTTTTGTATTAAAATGCTATATAATAGTTTACATTTACTTAAAAGAGAATGCATTTCAAAACATCACATATACTGATGACACTTAAAGAAAAGCCAACCACTGAATGGACTGTAAGCTTAACAAGACTTGACCCCATATGCTTGAGCTCTGCTTCATCTTTTAACAGTAGCACAAAGAACACTTTCTTCCTTTTAAAACAGTCCATTCAAGCAGTCTGTCTGCACTTGAAAAAGCAGTTGAAAAACAAACTTTCTTGCTTTGGTCTGACTCTCACCTCATAACCCAAAGTATGAGTAAAAGTTAGGTGCGCAGAGGGATGAAATCAGTTCTAAAGTTCTGTTTCTAATCATTTAACCAACTCATTTACTTTGATTCTCTGGTTTATTAAAAAGACAGTATTTTAAAGGCAAATCAGACAATGCAACATGCTTTATAAAACATTTTTTCTTGTATAGTCAAAATGATTATGACAATTTACATTAAATATTGTTTCAAATACCATAAATATTTTAACTGTACTTCCATTTCACCCAAATGCTGTTTGACATAAGTATCAAAATACTCTTAAAAACCCCACTTACTTTCCACTTGAAAAGCTATGTCAAGCTATGAACTCATTATATAGATAGGTATAAATTTAGCCCATCTTCATGACAACATAGAGTTAAGTCAACCGATGAAAACAAATCTCTTTAAGAGCTGACATGTACAAATGTACAAGGTTAAAATCAAGACTTCCTGTTTGCTTCTTTAAACTATAATTAAGTTTGCAACTTAAATTATGTTGACTTAATGCATTCTGCCTTGCAACTCTAACATTGACCTGCTATCATTTTCAAGCTACATAGAATAATCTAGCGCACAATGTCTTAACCTAGTCCGTAACATACAGAAATGCAACAAATCCGTTCAGCTTTTCTGCACTGTATTCATCTTCCTTGAATTCTCCTCTTAGCAAAGATGATACAGCAGTCTCACTTTCTTTGGCAGGCTGCTAACAAATTTGAAAAGGTTCTTGTATTTACCTTTCAAGCCCTTCCTAAAACCTTCCTAAAAATCTTTGTTCAAATCCCTTACTATGGTTTTAGGTTTAAATTCACCAGGGTTAAATTAAGTAAAACAGAGAACAGGATAGACATGACTTCTGCATCTTACCAGATTAAAAGCAAACAGCCCCACCAAAACAAAACCAGAACCCCCCTTCTCTTTACCATTTAATCCTACTGACTTCTGTCAAACCATTTATGAGTCTTTTTCCTCCAGCTGATGGTCCAGGTGCTCAGGATAGATGCAATGCAACTTCTTTAAACAATCTCCATGTCTCTACAAGCACTTTTCCCTTTCAGCTATGTCTTCTCCAGTGCTACTGAAAACTGAATCAGTTGTTACATCTCCCATTTCTGGAATCTCTTGACTACTTGATGGGAGCAGCAGTCATTTACAAATATTTTCATTAAATGAGATAGGTAAAATATACCAGTAATGGCAAAAAAAGTTTAAGTGCTAGAAAAGGCCTGGGCTGGTAATTCCCATAATAAATTACCTTTGCAGGTAAGCAAAATTGCTAAATCTGTATCACGGTGATAATAAAACCACTGTTGCCCAAACTTGCCCAACAGCCAGTCACATTTTTAGTTATTTCTCCATGTTCCTAAAGTTCAGTATATCCAAGTATTTCCTCAGCCAACACTAATGCTTTAAGAAAGCTTTTAATGCACTCCAAAGACATACATGAAGAATGAGCAAAAGCAAACTGTGTATAAAATACATCAGAGGGTCAGCAATAAGTTTTTGTCCTTTCAGTAAATTACATCTTCAGTCTAAATTTTATCAACTGATTTTGGTTTCAGTACTATGGAAGGTTAAATCTTCCTGTGCCATGCCTATTTTTAGAAACTTTATCCATAGTATTTACCTTTACTCTAAAGGTAAAAAAGCAACATGAAGTATAAGACTGACATAATTAAAATACCTGGAGAGATTACCTTCTAATATAATCAAAACATATGGTAAAACTTTCAATATCACCATACTCGAGGTGAATGGCTTCATTCACTTAAAAGTTCTAGAAAGCTTGAATAAGCCAAGTTCCTCAGTTACTGTACTGCACGACATAGTTGTATTTAGAAGGCAAGAGTGATTGCTTATCAGTAAAATTTGAACAAACGGCAAATCGTTAATGTAATTCCACCAAATAAAATCCCAGCATTTTAATATGACATCTCTTCTTCAAGGTTACCAGGCTTTCTGTGCAACATGCCTCCGTGGGCTGCAAAGCACTGTGCAATACAGCATCATTATAGAGCTGTAATAGCTACTCAAAGCCCCAGAAAGCACAGGGAGTTCAGTTCAGAAGAAGGGAGGAAGAGGTTTTAAAATGCTGATAAAAATGGGTTAGGTACATGTAAAAGTAACATAAAGCACATAATGCTTAACAAGTTTAATGCCAACTCAGGAAATCTACTTAAAAAATAATTTAATCTGAGAGTTCATTATGACAGACACTGACAAGCTTTAGGGAAGCTGCTGTTTTTAAAAAGGCTAAATTTCAGCTGCCTTCCCCCTGCCCAAAGTTACATATTGCCAAATGTCTGAATACCTTAATTCTTATACTCTACTACAAAGCATTTATAAAATGTGAATATTATAATACTTTCTACAATGAAACTAATACTTGGTTACAGTCCTGTCCCTTTCCTTTCAGATTTTATTTTTACAGAACGTTACCGCTTTGTTACCTTCTAGGTGAAGGTTAGTTCTTATTTCTGTTGTTAAGTCTCCATTTCTACATGCAGGAGAGAGGAATTCAGTATCCTTTGAAGACCCACTAAGTGTTACTGCTGAAAACCACCAAGAAACAGTTCTATTAGTTTCAGTGGCAGGTATTCGTTGGATTCTGTGGAAAACTGTATCTACAGTAGGACTTAAGTAATTATGAAATTATTTAAATCAGGCTATGATTTCATACCAGCTATCAAGAGATACAATTCTGGATAAATTCAAAGCAGCAACCTACTGAAGCACTAGAAAGCTCTGCATATCCTGTCATCAAGCCACAAAAAAAGAAGACAACAGTTGCAGATAGTTCCTCTACGACCTTGGGCTACAAGCTAGGTTTCCTGTATTCTATTATTATTTTTATTGCATGACCACAGTTTATGCATTTTTTCTCAAAACAGGGCAATAGAGACCTTCTATAGTTTTCATTATTGCATTTTGCAAAGCACTTAGAAAATCTGTGATTAAAGTTCATAATTTAAGATCAGTGTTGCTCATCTGTAATTATAAAGCATTCAAAAGCATTCTTTCCCACTTGGCAGACAAATCCATTTATCTCCATGTTAACAAAGCCCAACATTGCTGGTACCTGGTTCTGAGAAAGTATCGCTGATGTCATCATCTTTATCATCCTCATAATCTTCTTCCTCATCATCGTTTTCAGACAGCTCATGCTCACTGCCGAATCCTTCATCGTGGTCCTCATCTTCAATATCATCCTCATCATCCTCATCTTCCTCAGGGTCTCCTTTGGCTGACTGTTCACCCAAACTGTCTGTTACAAAAAGAGAATAGTTGTGCTCTTCTTTCTTCTGTGAAGAATCTGGCACTGATGTGCTGGCAGAAAGACTGCTCTCCCCCACAGTAAGCCCTGGGGTTTCCTGGGGTGGACTGAGTAGCAGTTCTTGAGTCTCTTTAAAAGGCAAAATAGGAGGCGTACTGTGACTATGCGGGGACTCTATTCCTTTTCTTTCTTGTCTCTTTGCTACAGCACCACAATAGCAGGTGTTTTCCTTTGCTGCATCAGCATGTGTCTGGCTCAGCACTGGTCTGCTCTGTGGTAAAGGATTGATCTTTACTTTTGCCTTTTTAACATAGTCTTTACATTCAACATGAATGTTCACCTTTTCATTATTGTACACATTGGTCTTCACCATGATTTGTGTACTGGAAGCAGGCTGAGTTGCAGGTTTGCTTGCCTTCTGAACACAGTCCGACAAAGGTGCCTCAGCCTGAACGTTCTTGGAGGAACAGACTGGGGCTGCTGCTCTGGTTGCAATTTTTTTGCCAGGTAGCAAAGAATTTAAAGGGTTTTGTTTTACACTAAAGAGCAAATCAGGGTAATAGAGTGAATCAGAAACAGGTTGAGAGTCCTCACTGTTAAGCTGAGCCAGTGTCGGCGTTTTGCTTATCACCTCTTCATCTTGGTATGGGCTTGAAAAGTCATCAAGGCCCAGGTAATCGACCTCTTTTGTTCCCCAGATGTCACAGCTGGTTAATTTAGTGTACTTAGTTAAGTCTTCACAGTAGGTGTCCCACTGCTCCCACTTTGAGGTGAGAGCAGCTTCTTTGTCCAGGATGTCCGTAAAAGACTCCAAGTTCTCAAGGTCTTTGCAGTCCTCCATTGAAAGTAAGTTGTCTCTGGAGCTTTGCTGATAGTCCATTTCTCTGTCCTGTGCATAGTAAGACAAGTTAAAAACTAATACAAAAAAAGTATCAACCATCTCTGTCCTCTACTTAATCTAGTATGATGAGCTTAATTTCAGTGAAGTGTAAGAGAATGATAACATATGAAGATACCTCGACTTCTAACTAAAAGTTTCTTTTGAGGGTCAGAATGAAGTTCAGCTTCCATGCTTTCAGCAGATCCTTCTGAAGAGATTGCTAAAGATACAAGTCAAATGCCACTGGATTCTTTTTCTGCTATTGCAAATTCATCTGGTCATCAGGAACTAGACTAGTACCAACATCCATGTATTTAAAATATGAAAGACAGCATAGGCAAGCTGTTCTAGTCTCCATTAACCTAGGTCAATCTTTGTTGTGTGCTTTACAGAATATGCTGAAGTTTACCAGTCCCTGGAAAACCTCATTCTAACATGATCAATTAATGACTATGAGCTACCTTTCTCCTTTGATGCAAGGGGGGGGGGGGGGGGGGGGAATGGGAGTAAA